ATTCTTTTCACTTAATAGTTTAAATATTTGATTCCTTTCCTTTCTAGCTTGTAAGGTCTGCGCTGAGAAGTCTGAGGATAATCTAAATGGGTTTTCCTTTCTAAGTTACTGTTTTCTTCTCCCTGGCTGCCTTGAGAATTTTGAGAATTCTGTCTTTATTGTTGATTTTTGATAATTTTAGTAGAGTGTGTCTTGGAGATGGCCTTTTTTGGTAGAGGTAATTGGGCGTTCTGTTGACATTTTGAATTCCAAGCTCCAGCTCATTCCTTAGATTTGGGAAATTCTTGTCAACTATTTCTGGAAATGCTTTCTAGTCCCTGCTCCTTTTCCTCACCTTCGATAATGCCCATTATTCTTATGTTTCCACTCCTGATGGTATTGTCTAGTTTTTGTATTTCTCTTTCATTATTTTTCATTTTTGGTATCTGTCTTCTTCTTTCTTATTTATTTCTAGATTTCTGTCTTCGATATCACTGATCCTTTCCTTCATTTGGTCGACTCTATTTCCTAAGCTTGGTATTTCATTTTTAAGCTCTTGCAGTGTGCTTTTCATCTCCAGTTCTATTGATTCTTTTTGAGGGTTTCAGTCTTCTTGTTCTGCTCATCTAGGTGTTTTTTCAATTCCTGAAATTGTTGATATGACTCGTTTTGAAACTCACTGAGTTTTTTCAGAAGTACCATTTTGAATTCTTTGTCATTTAAATTGCATATTTCTATGTCTGTAAGCTTACTTTCTGCATAGTTTTTTTTTCTGAGATAGTTTTTCTTTATCACCTTGGTCGTTCATGAGGTTTAATGGACTATTTCTCAGCCTGGGAATTAATGGAAGTGTATTCTGTTGTTTTCCTTCAAGAAGATTTATTATATAAAGGTCTCTCTTTAGCCTGTTGCAAAGAAGGCACTTTTTTTTTATTTCTAGTAGATGGCATCTAAGCCTCTTGGATTCCTGCTTTATATAAAGCCTTAATAATGACTTTTTTATTTTCTTACAGATATTTTATCATGCTTGCTACTCTCAGTTTCAGTTCCTGTCAGTGTCAGGGACAGTCTAGGCAGTGTTCGCCCAGATTCCCCTGGGGAAGGGGCCCTCTGGGTTGGAGGATGAAAACCTGGGCTCAGCATCGGCTTTGCAACCTGGCCGGCAAAAATTAACTGCTATTTCTCTGCGGGTCCGTCCAGCTTCTCTGCTCTCTGCCCTGATGACTGGGCCCTGCTGCCGACTGTGTATAAGTCCTGTCTCCTCCAGGCCGGGTTGTTACGGGAAGTCGCCACATCTTCACCTGTCCTCCTCCTGCAAGGAGCTCCGGCGGCTGCGCAAGGCAGCTTCTTTATTTCTCCGAGTCCACCGCTGGACACCCGGGGTTCTGACCTATGGTAGCTCTTATGCACAGATCCCACGCTCAGACATGCTGGTGTGCAGTTTGGGTGTTTTTTGTTGAGTTTCAGATGTTCAGCTTATTGTTGTTTCAAGGGGAGAGATCTGGGGATGTCTCTCACTCTACTTTGTTTACAAAATCTTTAATCAGATTTTGAAATCAGCTTTAATTGCCTTTTGAACTAACATTTTTTGCCTGCTCATTTCTGTAAATGTGCATTCCTCTTCTTGTTGCCCATTTTGTTCTTCACCTAGTCTCTCTTGTGGAGGCTGTGTAGCATAGCATAGGGAGTCAGACTTCCTGGGATTCCATGCTTGCTATGTGTAATTTTGGGCTAGTTACCTTTTTTGACTTAGATGATAGCAATGGTAGTTATCTCGCATGGGGTTATTGCAAGGATGAACTGGATTAGAACATGTAAAGGGTATAGTGCTTGACATAGTGTTGAGTGCCATGGTCTCAGCAATTATTAACCACTTGCCGCTATTGCAGTTGTTAATTATTAATTCATAACTTTAGATATTCACTAATATAACAACTTATGACTTCTCCCCCTTCTTGCTTTTATTTTTATACTTTTATGAAGGGAAAGATGAACTGCTGTCTTGCTTTCAGCATTTTTGTTGACATGATCATTGCATATACTCTTCTTAATTTTGCTCATATATTGTTTGCCATTCAGTGCAAGCTGAAGGGAAGGAAAGTGTAAGGCTGTTTTCAGTCCGAAGTGATCTTTTAAACAAAACCACTTTATTAAATAATATATATCTTTATGAGTTTACTAATTAGTATAATTTATCAACAAAAGTAATTTTTCTTGAAACATTGAAATTCTGAATATCTTTTGAAGCATTAAAGCAAAATTGTATTTAGTGTGATTTTAATGTTTAGATTATTTGACATTCCAGTTAAAAAGTGATAACCCAAACCTCTTTGGAAAACTTCTTGGTAGTATTTACTAACGCTTAATACTCTATGATCCAGCTTAATATCTTATGTTTCTTCTTCTGTGTACATACTTACCAGATATGTACATGTGTTCATGAAAAGACTTGTACTAAAATGCTTATAATAGCACTGTTTTAATAGCCCTTACCTAGAAATTACCCAGATGTTCATCAACTGTAGAATAAATTCTAGCATATTCACACAATCTAATACTATGTAGAAACAAAAATGAAAGATCTTCCTAGTACATCTCAACAGGATGGTTGCTCAGCAGTAGAGTTTGGATCTCACAAATAAAGTACTGAGAGAAAGAAGTCTAAGAGCACTTACTATACTATCTGGTTCTGTTTATGTCAAGTGTAAAATTTGGCAGAACTAATCTAAGCTGTTAGAAGTTCATGCAGTGACATAGGAGGTGGGGTTTGGAAGTAGTGACTGGCAGGGAGGGTGAAGGGACCTTCTGAAGTGCTGTTAATGTTCTGTTTCCGGATACAGGTGTGTTCAGTTTGTGAGAACTCATCAAGCTGAAAATTTTATTTTGTGCATTTTGCTTTATGTATAGTCATAAAAGCTTTTTAAAAAATCAACATATTTATATATTGTAAACCTACTGCATTATACATTTGATGATAATTGAGGTGCTAGTCTGCATCATTTTTGTCCAGCATCCTTGTTTAATAATCAGAAAATTACAACGACAAAGGGAAGAAGGGTGAGCATCAGTCTCTGAGTCTCCTTGGCATTGGGCTTCCTACATATTGGCATAAAGTGCCTCTGTCAGAAGATAGAGATGAGGAGGATTTTGATCACAGAGCAAGCATCCTTTTAATAAGAAGGGATTGGCCCCGGAGGGTGACTTGGTTTAAGGCAGCACCTCTTGGCCACTCCTATTTAAGAATCCAGAGGCATTGGCAAAGCCCATTAAGCAACCTCGTAGACTTTGTGGATGATGAAACAAAGTAAATTTGCACTTAGGTTTAAGTGACTCACATCTGAGGGAAGAATAGAAATCAATAAGCTATTTTAGCAAGTTATTATTTTTAGCATAGTCCAAAGGAAAGATAATATTTAATAATCTAAGACTTCTTTTTTAAAGACTCCAGTCTATTTTTCATTATGCAAAAAGATTGTTTTTTTGGACTTTTAGCTTATTGTGTATTTTTTTAATATATTTTAAGTTTAAAAATAATAACATACTTGTCGTAACACATTCAACAATACAGAAATGATGAAAAGCAAAACCTTTGTAAAGTTGTACTTGTAGACCCTTTTTTTGTTTTGTTTTTTATTATCCATTTTAACATCTGAAATTGGGATTGTCTTTCAATTTCTGTCCACCAGGTGGCAGTCATGATAAAGCTATCATCACCAGGACATGGGAAATTTGGCCATAGCTTGTTCACGTTGTCTTCACTTCAGTCGAGTAATATATCTTATTAGTACTACATGGTTGAGTTTAATTCTTGTTATAAATGTATTGAAAATAACTGTACTATGTTATTTGTCATTAAAGCAAAAAGTGTGTGTGTGCAGAAAGATGCTGAAAAGGCAGCAAGGTATAAATTTAACGAGTCAAGTAAATATTCATTGTTGGAATGATAACCACAGTTCTATTTCTCTGCAAAGTAAAACCAAACACTTTATAGAATCAAGAAGAGGAACTATTCTGTGAGTAAGTAAAGGTGTGCTGCATTTTATTCCTGATATATATGCAAAAACATTTCTTATCACAAAGCTAAGCAGTACAACTTAAGGCAGGAAAAACTGCCAAATCCTGTGGAATAGACAGTTGGTGTGACTGGTAGACTGTACAGACTATTGTTGAGGCCCTGTGTCATAGCTTTAATTGCTCGTTTCTTCTTATAAATGAATTTAACGATTGTGATCATCGTTTTATGTTTATTCATTGTCTTATGTCTATTGAGATAGTTATTTGGTTTTCCTCTTTTAATCAATTAATGTTATATTTTACATTGATTTATATTCTGATATCAAACTATCTTATGTTTCTGAGAAAGCAACTTACTGTTTTCTTTTTAAATTAATAATTATCTTGTGGACATTTTTTCAATGTTATATATATAGATTTACCTCATTCTTTTTAATGGCTCCATTATTTTTCTATCGTATGAATATACTATTCTTTTTTAAATGGCTGCCTTATTGGTGTGCATGGGTTCAAATTTTTGCTATTAAAAACAATGTAGCAGAGAACATCTTTCTATGTATACCTTTATTTACTCAGGCTAGTGTTTCTATAGAATAAATTCTAAGAATTCTGTGCATTTTTATTGTTTGATAACAAATTTAAAAATTTATTTAAAAAAAGTATTTGCTTGGTTTAGAAAAGTCAGTCATTAACTATACCAACATGCTAATAGTGGTTGTCTTTGGGGTGATGGATTTAAGTGTGATTTTTTTATTTGTAACTTTAATAGTAAAAACAGAACCTACTTTAAAAAAACAGAACCTACTTTAAATGCTTATGAAACCAAACACTACTTTAGAAGCTCTGGGATTGTGAGCAATTGGAGGGTAGGAACTGGTGAGTTGCCAGATGGTTCATCTAGCAGAATACAAAACATATGAAGTAAGTTCAAAAGATGTTTATAGAAGAAAGTTGAATTGATTTTTTGGGTTTAACAGAGAAAAAACTTATTACCTATTCTTTTTCAGGGTTTCTTGATTAACTCAAAACCAGAGAATGCTTGTGAACCCATAGTGCCTCCACCACTAAAAGACAATTCATCTGGCACTTTCATCGTGTTAATTAGAAGACTTGATTGTAATTTTGATATAAAGGTAATGTTTGCTTTTTAAATTTTTTTGCTCTTGTTTGTTTAGTTAGCAACTTAACTAACTACTCCCTTATTTCAGAAAAGATTTAAGTTTCCACAATTTGTTCAGATTAAAAAAATGAAAGGTGTGAGGACAAAAGGAAAATGAGGAGATAGTAAAGGCAAAAAAATACAGGAGCAGGTTTACTTAATTCTTATTCATTTGCTGCAGAATTTATTCTCAACTTTTAGCAGCCAGTACAAAGAGGAAGACACGATCAGTTTCATGATTCACGATTTTAGTAAGATTGACGACAAACAAATTGACTAGATTATAAATAATTACTATTGGTCCTAAGAATTTCCAGGTGGTTGTTGCACATCTTTGAACTGTGATTGAATAGTGGAGTCTTGCTTGATTTAACCTGGGAATGGAATAATTGAGTTTTAGTTTTATGCCTTCACCCTTCCAGTTTTAGTACTACACCTATACCTATATCTATGTTGACATTGGGATTTCTCTAATTTAATAAGCTGACCCTGTCACCTGTATAAATTTTGTTGCTCTGGAGTGGGTTAAGCTGACATTCAGGCAGTAAACACAGTTTTGGCCATAGGACCTCCCTCACTATCATTAGTGCTATTCTAAAGATGTAATTTTTTGATACTTTTAATACTGTCTTTACAAATCTGTGTTTGGATTGGCCTTAGCAGAAGAGCCACATTGAGGCCTGTATCAAATAAGTTTTTATGTTACTTTTACTTTACTACCTGAGACCGGAGTGTCATATAGTGTCTCGAATGTATCTTAGAGAATAGACACAGGATATTGTTTCACATACTTTCCATAGCATCAAGGAAAGGCTGCCATGACTCCTGCTGTGCCTACATTTTGTTTCTGTTTCTTTCATTTCATGAAAAAAATGATACATCGATGATAAACTTATTAAAGGAATAAAATAATAACTGTAAAGGGATCTGAAAATGTAGAGCACTTTGTAAATGATAGTGTTACTACTGTACATAAGTTCCAAATCTGAACTCTCAATTGCCTTTAAATGGGAAATAAATTAGAACTTGAAGTCCCATGTAGTAGATTTCCTTCTCTTCAGTTATGTTGTTTATAGTAGTTTGAATTTAAAACATTTTAAAATTTGATCTAAAACTAAGCTATAATTACAGATCATTGCCACAAAAATGAAATATTATTGTAATATTTTATTTCTGGCTTCTAAGAGATTAAAAATAAACTAAATCTGCTGATTCCAAGGTTTATTGTTCTATAATTCTATGTAATTTTTGGCTCAGTTTAGTCTTTAGTAACTGGAAACCAGAATATCTTTTTAGAAAATTTTAAATTTTTTTGTAACTTTTTTAGGTGAGAATGGGAGATAGTTCACTGCAGAATTTAGGGAAATACTGTCATTGAGTATTTTTGATGGTGAAAACACAACTCAGGAATGAATAAGTAGGCATGTTAGTCCTTTTATCCCTTTAATGGGTCTTCATCATGAATCCTTCTAATGGAGCTTTAGGATTCACTCCATCTTATCTCTTTTCACTTCCTGCCTTGAATTTTATGTTGCAGCCATACTGCCTCCTTGAAGTCTCTCACCTTGCTCTGCCATGGTGACTACACCTTTGTGCCTTTATATTTACTATTTTCCTTGCTCAAGATCTCTGTCCAAGACTACCTTTACCACCTCTATTTCTGACTGTTTCATCATTGAAGTGCTAGTTGAGGATGTTAACTCCTCTGGAAGCCTTACTTTTTTTTCTACTCTCTCTGGCAGAACAAATCATTCCAGCTTAATGTACCACCCTTCCACTCTGTAAATACCTCCTTATTGCTCTATCACATTATTTTTTTCACTTATATGCGACTTCACTATGTTTAGAGTGTATGTTTTAATTATATTAATATATCTCATTTGTATCATAGTGCATAGTAGGAGAACAATAAAGATTTTGTTAAATCAAACTATTATATAGTGGTAGGCCTTCTACTTATGTGCATGATGCATTCTTTAAAAATACGTACATATAAAAAAATGTAAAAACATTTCAGTTGAAGAGATTCATCTTAGAAAGGAAAATGTTAAAAATTTCCTATTATCTCTCACTATGTAGACAGTTTTAATGGGTAAAGTTCTAGTCCATCGTATATGTTCTTTAACTTTATTTTTCCTTCATAAATAAACAACTTATTATATCTATTTAAGGCTAAAGATTACTTACTCATGTCATTCCTAATGATTTCTGTCTTTGTCTCAGTTGTATTAAATTTATGCAACATCAGTTTACAGGGGAGACCTTGATTTTAATCAAGGTCTGGAAACAGGCTGCACTTATTTAAATCCCGTCTTTATAATTTATTAGTAGTGTGATCTTTGGCAAGTTATTTTACCTCTGTGCCTCAATTTCTTTATCTATAAAATAGGAATTATAATGTTTCCTACATCATAGGATTTTTATGAGGATCAAATGAAATAATCATCATTAAATGCTTATTAAATAGTTCCTTGCACACTGTAAGTAAGCAGTAGATATTAGCCATTGATGTTTTATGCTTTTTTACCATTGGTGTAAAATTGAATAAGGGTGATGATGGCAAAGATGCTGACTGTATTAGGCTAAGTTCCATAATCTGCTGTCTGCAAGCCGAAGAACCAGGAAAAGCCAGTGATATTCACTGTGAGTCTAAAGACCTGACAACCAGAGGAGCTGATGGTGTAAGTCTTAGAGTCCTAAGGCCCAAGAATTATAATTTAGCTATTACTCTAGCTCATCTAAAGAGAAATTGGGAATTTGCCCTCCCTTCACCTTTTTATTTTTTATTTTTGGGCCCTCAGTGAGTTGGATGGTGCCCACCCACATTGGTGACGGATGAACTTCCTTATTCAGTCTACTTAATCAAATGCCAGTCTCTTCCAGAAACCTCCTCACAGACACCCCAGCATAATGTTATGCCAGCTTTCTGTGTATTTCTTCACCCAGTCCAGTCGACCTACAAAATTAACCATTACCTTTCAGAAACTAAATTACTGGCTTATAAGTCAAATTGTGATATAGTTCCTCAATGTCAGTTGATGTGAAAAATTTCTAATTTGGCTTATAAAGGACAGTTTAATTTATATCAGTATGTAAGATTAAAATATAAGTTTCATAAATACACAATAAGAATTAGGGATCACTTACCAAAGTAGTATGAATTGATAAGGATAAATTCATCACAGTTACTAAAAAAACAAATGGAATCTCATCCCAGAAAGAATTTTCCTTCTAAGGATAATTGCCTATGGATAGGCTATTAGCTTTATTAACTATAACCTTCAGATCAGAAATCTATGCTTGTATTTTCTGGGCATCTAAATTGATGATAATATACAGTATTTTATTAGGTATGTAATGGAACCTAATTATTTATAATGTATATATAGTACTTCTTTTCTGAATTGAAAATAAATAGGTTTTTGTAGATAATAAATAGTGGTTCATTTATGTATAGCCACAATTTTGTATGAATGCATCATCTTAAGAAAATAGAAAAGTAACTCATTTCCTTATCCTGATGTAGCAAACTGGGACTGAGTACTGAGAAAAGCTTAATTCAGCACTGTACAGAATGCTGCAGTTGATAGAGGTACAAGGTTTTTTAACCCCCATGCTTCCTATCCAAAGTGACACCTGAATTATCTCAGGCAAATGAGAATTGGCTCTATCTTACAGAGCTTTCCTTGGAGAAGGAACCCTTTCCATTATAGACAGCACAAGAGAATAAAATAAAATAAAATTTTATCAAGATATTTTAAAAGATTATTGATGGTTGGTATTTCAGGGTTACTTTTTATAAATTCTTTAGATTTGTTTTGGAAGATGAATATTGTACTGTAATTAAAGAAACCTAGATGTCTTTTATTTCTTCTGTAAAAGTAAATGAAGAAGTGAAAATTATGTGCTACAATGAAAGAAATGGCAAATTTTCTATATAAAAACTATCCCAAGTATTTTGTGACTCAGAAATAGCCAAATAAGAACGCAGACATGCAATTAGTTGTTAGAGGATAGGAAATTGCATTGTTTGTAGCATTCTAAAATAAAAAAGAGCATTGTTTTATTTTTATTTTTTTCATCTTTGGTTGAGAGAAGCACATTTGAGCTTTTTAATTTATCTTGCCCTGGAAAGATGCAGCAGACCTCATATTCAGAAGCAGTATTTGGATATATAGAATGTCCAGAAGTCCAGGAAGAACTGTTGATCAAACGCTAGCTGTTATTCTAAAAACAATCATTTTTACTCACACTGACAAAAACTGTATCCTCTGAAAAATACAGCTCTTAGTGGAAAAGCAAAACATTATTTTATCTTTATACAGTGCAGTTCTTTTTGTGACAAAATATAATTGTTTGGAAATATTAGTTTTTGGTGAGTATTTGAAGTTAAAAAACATTACTGGCTCTTTGATAAATAAGGCTATCTTAAATCTTTTAACTAGAAAATGGCTTTTTAGCATTCTGAGGCAGAGAGTTCTCAGAAGATTTGTATTGGCATCTAAGTAAATTTTCCATTAAAAACTATAAAAATATCTGGTTATTTCAAGAACATTAAAATAATCACTTAAAATAGAACTTTCTAGAACTGTACAAATGTCTGTTTATAAGCAGTTAAAGATTCGTTATCAGAAATCTACTTATTGTCATTACTGTCCAAGGTATTTCCACTATGTGGTTTTAATGCAAAGTAAACAATTTCTTTGAATAGTCAATTTACTTTACTATAACTGAACTCTAGGGAAGCTTGGTAAACAAATGGTGCAATGCATGTATTTCTGAATTTTATTATCATCTTATGCTCTGATAATTATTTTTGAAAAACCTGCCTTCCTGCAAAGCCATGTAGGCCAGTTATCAAGAGGCTGAAAGGGCTTAGATATTATTTCCTCCACTCTTTTTTTTTTTTTGTGGGGGGCATGGATAGAAATTGCATTTGGATTGTAGACGATAAAGAATATGTTGGTACTCATT